ATCACAGCCAATGCAAGTGTATGGATGTGATGACATCATGGGTCCTAACACCTCCACTATTGGTCTAGCAGCCAAGCAGGACCAGGGATCGGTTAAGTGTATCTTTTTTATTTTAGACCCTAGGCAAAAAAGAGCACTTAACCCTTGTAGGGCCGGGGTGGCCCCACTGCAAAGGTTTATTTTGGACATTCCCAGAGTTCTCCTTTAAGTCAATATGCTGCCCTGATGTCACAACAACAAATGGAAAATGGTACAATGAGAAGAATTCCAAGTGCTTTAATGGGGATGTAGACCTTAAGTGAATGACATTTAGTTTGCTAAACGGCTGGGTATCATAGACAATTGCTCACAGACATAGCAGCTCTACCCCCACCTGTCCAAATACAGAGGACAGAGGCCTCGATTGGGGCTCCCATCCAGGATATAAGTATTTATTTCCTATGCTCCTCAGCTCCATCTAATGGCCATAATGCAGTATTACACCACAAAACATTCATCCTGAAAAGAAAATATATTCGGAACATTCGTTTTTTTAATTATTCACGCAAAACCAATGTTCACAAATATTTTGCAGGGAAATAGTTTATAAATAGACCCCATAGATCTGCCTGACTAACTTGCTAACTTTTTATGAGGGGGTAAGCAGAGATATGGATGGAGGGAAGCCGGTAGATGTGGTATACCTGGATTTCTCAAAGGCATTTGATACGGTACCACACAAGCGCTTACTTCACAAGCTGAGGGCTATGGGCATAGATGAGGTGGTGTGTACGTGGATAGAGAACTGGCTACGGGAACGTGTCCAGAGGGTATCTGTAAATGGCACCTTTTCGGGCTGGGCTAGTGTAATGAGCGGTGTTCCTCAAGGATCTGTGCTGGGTCCGATACTGTTCAACCTATTAATTAATGACATCGGGGAGGGAATAAATAGCCATGTTTCCGTGTTTGCAGACGATACAAAAATAGGGAGGGTACTAGAAACGGATCATGACAATATAACATTACAGGAAGACCTGGATAAAATAGGGGGAGGGGCATTAATGTGGCAGATGAGGTTTAATGTCGATAAATGCAAAGTAATGCACTTTGGACATAAAAATAAACAAATGGGTTATATAATTATGGGTATGCCGCTAGGGAAGTCAGAAATAGAAAAAGATTTGGGGGTCATTGTAGACCACAAACTGAATGGTAGCTTGCAGTGCCAAGCTGCGGTAAGCCGGGGTCCCCTTTCCTGTACCTCCTCCCAACTCCTTTTACCTGCTGCTGCTGTGGCCTGACCTCCTCCACCCCCTCCCCTGTCACCTCTGCCATGCCACCCCTGGTACAGCTGATACTCATGTAAGAGGCCCCCCAGGTTGCCTAGACCCCTCACATGGATACCGGCCATACACACACTTCTCCTCTCCCGCCGCCTGTTACTAGGGACGCAGCCGGGAAAGGAGGTGAGTTACAGGACCCGCCCCCTTGCTGAGAAGCCCGTCGGCAGTGCGGTTCCCCGGGACCCTGCACTGCTGCATATTCCACTAGGGGGTGGCCCAGGACCGGACCTCACTGGGCCCCCCCACAGCCTCAGTCCTCGAGGCCCCTGTTGTAGTTCCCAGTAGAAAGGTATCATGGCACACTCACAAGTCAGCATGTAAAAAAACTTGTCTCACCACTAAGGTTAATAACAGAGGTTTGGATACACGTCTTCTGCAGAAATTGTGAAAGCCGCACAGCCGCGCCAAGGCACCTCTTATAGTGCGCTCCTAACTCTAAACTATGAGAGTCTCCAAACCTCTGTTATTAACCTTTAGTGGTGAGACAAGTTTTTTTACATGCTGGCTTGTGAGTGTGCCATGATACCTTTCTACTGTTTACTGTTCAAAGCCCATTTCGTGTGCACCTTACTGTATAGCTGGTGACAAATTGTTGAGTGCGTTTGTCATTTGTTTTGCTTCCCTGTTGTAGTTCCGCCCCTGGACAGGGAGCGGCAGCAGAGGGATGAAAGAGCCACATGCGGCTCCGGAGCCGCAGGTTGCTGACCCCTGCCATAGATGGACAGGCATTGAGAAATGCAAAAAGAACAGTGAAGCACATAATATCAGGAACTTTGCCAATCAGGGTGGGGCTTTTTATTCTTTTGGGAAGTTATCCAGGATTGTTGGCAAGTGTTCGGCAAATGTGAGCTCTGGGCCAAAAGTTTTATCAGTAATAAAGCAAGCGGTTTATCACAAGTTTATGTTCAGCCAGAATATTCTGATTAGTATTGCTGGTACAACGTGTCTCCCGCTCCCTCCTAAATTATGTTTTTTTTTTTCTTGTCTGCCTATGATGGAATATTATCACAATCAAACCGGCCGAAGATAAATTTGTACCCTTAATGGTTTCTGCTGGCGTATGATTTATGAGCTCATAATGAGACTATTAACACTCTAGTTAACCCGAATAAATGTTAAATATATCAAAACAGCTTTTAATTCACCTGCAGAAGTTGTGGAATCATTTCTTTTCCTCTAGTTTGCAAAACTCACACGGAGATGCCACGTAGATGCAAGCTGACTTGTAGACATGTGCGATTCGTTTTATTCCGAATAAACATTTTCCGAAATTCGGACATTCGGACACATCCGAATCTCTGAATCCCAATCATCTCCAAAATACGCCCCTTGCCCATCACCAATGAAACCACAAAGCTGCTTATCCACTCCCTTGTTATCTCTCGTCTCGACTACTGTAACTCCCTCCTCATTGGCTTACCTCTACACAGGCTCCTCCCCCCTTCAGTCTATCATAAATGCTGCTGCCAGACTTATCCACCTAACCAACCGCTCAGTGTCTGCATCCCCCCTCTGCCTATCCCTGCACTGGCTTCCAATTACCCAAAGGGTAAAATTCAAAATATTAACAGCGACCTACAAAGCCATCCACAACTCTGCCCCCGGCTATATCTCAAACCTTGTCTCCAAGTATCACCCTAAACGGTCCCTCCGCTCCTCCCAAGACCTCCTGCTCTCTAGCTCCCTCGTCAACTCCTCCCATGCTCGCCTCCAGGACTTCACCAGAGTCTTCCCCGTTCTGTGGAACTCATTCCCCCAACCTGTCCGCCTATCTCCTACTGTGTCTACCTTTAGGCGTTCCCTTAAGACTCATCTCTTCAGGGAAGCTTATCCAACCTAACCACTAACATATAAATCTCTGAAACAATTCATCCCCACACAGCTACCTCCTCATGTATCACTTCCCCCTCCCTTTTTAGATTGTAAGCCCTCAGGGGCAGGGCCCTCCTTACCATCTTGTCTTGAATTGTATTGTGATTGTCATGTCTTCCTTATATTGTAAAGCGCTGCGCAAACTGTTGGCGCGATATAAATCCTGTATAATAATAATAATATGTAACTTAAAATCAGTCTTCAATGAGTGCCTGCTTTGCAAGCTGACTAGTAGACATGTGAGATTTGTTTTGTTCCGAACATTTTCCGAAACTCGGACATTCAAACACATCCGAATCTCTGAATCCCAATGCATCTGAATGTGTGCGAATCCGAATTTCCGTTTCTGAATTTCGGATCCCGTCTGAATTTCATTCGAAAACTAAACTGAATGTGACTGTGACTCTTCTGGTCAATCAGATGTGTTTTTCGGTTTAATGCATCCGAATGGGTCTGAACACGAGTTTTCGTTACGGCAACATGGCAACCATATACAGTATATACAATACTAAAGCTGAGGCTCCCAGACCTGAATGGCATTCAGGATACGAATTTCCGAATGGCGTTTGGGAGCTCCTGAGTGCCATTCGGGTCTGGGAGCCTCAGCTTTAGTAATATATGTATATGGCTCCCAGACCCGAATGGCATTCAGGAGCTCTGGAATGCAATTCGGAAATTCGGATACCGAATGCCATTCGGGTCTAGGAGATTGGCCAGATGGCCATTAGGGTCTGGGAGCCATATACATACTATATATTACTAAAGCTGAGGCTCCCAGACCCGAATGGCATTCAGGAGCTCCCCAATGCAATTTGGAAATTCGGATCCCGAATGCCATTCGGGTCTAGGAGATTCAGCTTTAGTATTAATATCTGTATATGGTTTTATGTGGTAGTCGTAACAAATATTCGTTTGTAAATTTATCTGAAACTAACGGAAATTGAATTTCAGACCCGAATCCCGAAATAACGAAATATCCAAACCGAATTTTTCTGCAGCTTACATGTCTACTGGCTAGGTTCAAGAGAAGGTGCTTAGATGTCCAGGTTGGGTGTCACTATTGTAGCCCAAAGACAAAGGGGATGGGGTAGTGACACCAAAGCTGCAGAGATACAGTTATTGGCGCCTTCTTTGGACTATGTAGTCATAAAGTACAGCAGAGGTGGTGTCTATAGATGGATTACTTTGCAGAAATTTGGCAAAAGCATTTCCTATATACAGTATGTGTTCATTCAGCTGTTTGGCTTTTTGCTTTTGAACAGGGGAACTCTTGTAATGGAGGTTTTGTATTAATGAAATAAAAGACTTTTGGTGTAGTCCTTATGATCTGAATGGCGACAGGTTATTTTATTCCAGTGAAAGCTTCATTTCCCTTAATGGCTACAAGTTTTGTCCCAGTAGAATCTATGAAAAATTTTGAATGCCCTGATTGGGTAATGATCTGGTCTTTTGGTCATGCCCTGATTGGTTACATCTGTTCCGGTCATCTGATTACTGATTGGTGTATTTGACTACTTGGCGCGAGTAAAGCAAACAAACCTTGAATACTATGCGTCCGGAATTCAGTAATTGCAATTGTATCTCATTTGTCTCTCCAGGACGCGGTATCATGCCCGTTGGAAGGAGAACAGTTATCGCGGATCCAAAATGTCATCCAGGAGCTTCCTCCGTCACACTACAGGTAAGAGAGCAAGGGGCTACAGATAAGGGGGTCCCGGGGCATTCTACAGGGATATGGGAGAATTTTGTTCAAAGTGTGGCCTGGCAGTTGGAAACACAAATAGAATTCTGGGGTGTTGAAACAATTACCGCAGAAGCAGGAATAGTTTGGATTGGCCAGTGGCACGACAGTTCGATGGTACACAACGTGAGCTCCTTTTTTCTCAGCTCTATACTTCATCGTCTTAAAAGGTTTAAAAAAAAAAAAAAAACACTTCTTATATTCGGCCTGCCTGTCATTCTACTACTATTATCGGAGGTAATTGGAATGCCTGGATCTTATTTATATTCTGGTGATAGGAGGGCGAACGTTTTGGCGCACAATAGTTACCTCGCAGCAATGGTGCAGCTAGCCCTAGCCACATAAAATAAAAATCAATACGCACCGAAAAAAAAAAAAAAGCCTAAAATTCCACCCCTCTGACACAAAAACTTTGGGAAAATGAATGGGACATAATTGAGGTATGTCTCTCCTCTAGGTTCTCCTTAAAACAGCCATTAAAGGAGAACTATGGGGTTAAGTCTTTTCCCTATAGTTCTCCTTAGGGTAACGGGAGGACACAAACTAGCATCCTCCCGTCACCCTAAGCTCAGTGTACCGCGAGCTACGGAGACGCCGCAGCTGAAGCGGATCCCGGCAATTGTGCCGGGATCCGCCCAGCTGCATGACTGACAGCTGGCTCCCCCCCCCCCCCCTCATAGTTCTCCTTTAATGGGGCATAATTGAGGTATGTCTCTCCTCTCTGCCACCAGGTTCTTCATCGCTTAAAACAGCCATTAGGGGTGCAAGGGATGCAAGAACCTAGAGGTGGAGAGGAGAGACATACCTCAATTAATTCTCAGCCCTGTCTGTCGACACTCGCCATGCTTGTCCTGGGCACGCAGGAGGGAGCCCAGAATACATGGTGGCGAAGGGGATGAGGCATTAGAGCGGGGGGCAGTAGCACCTGTGGGGGTGTAGATTAAAAGTGATCGGGTGGCTGCAATCTGACAGTCGGCTTGAGGAGTGTAAAAACACTCAGCGAGAAGCCTGTTTACAGCCCCTGCGGCCGCGGATGTAGTACATGCGTCTGTGCCAGCGAAAGGGTTAAATATCAATTAAATACAAATACACATAAAATTGAGAAAGAACACAAAATGAAATAAAGTAAACTCCTCCTATATACAAATAAAAACAATTGTGTAGCAATTCTACGACGCAGAATCTGTGTAATCTGTGTATCTAATTAATTGTGAAAACTCGATACATTACTTTAAGTCCGTTCCAGGACGTGACCGGCTCCCTTTAAGCAGGACGTGTTTTTCTAGCCGGCCGCTGTGCCCGTCCTAGCGGCATGGTCGGCTTGCTTAGGAGCGCAGCTGTGTAAGCAGAGCCATGTCTGTTAATGTTTGTTAAAGTTGTAACATTCTGTCTGGCGGATTCCAGTAAACATCGCAGCAGTGGTGGCGTGGGCCTGAGAAGTGTCTGAGTCTGCCTGCTGGGATCTCCTACTTAAAGCTGAACTCCGGCCTTCCCTTCCAGCTTGCACAGCTGTACCGGCTCCTCTCCTGGACTGCAATGGCTTCTTCTGATGTCACTGCACACTGGGAGCTCCTCACAATGTGCATTAGAAGCTGCAGCAAGTCAGATAGAGCCCGCCTCATTTCCTGGCTGGAGGGTGTCTAGCATCATCTGGCACTTTTTACCCCAGCCTGGTCCGCCCCTTTCATTTATTGGATTTCAGTTTTGTCAATCATGGAGGTTCAGCATCACATCGGTGTTACCTAGGGCGGTCTGCATGCAAATACACTCGCCCACTCCTCCAGACTGACATCCACCCATCAAGCCATTTTAATATATGCATAACTCCTCCCAGGAGCCAGCCTACTGCTTGCATGAGAAGCACAGAGACCCAGTTATGATGTCACTATAATGGTATATGCATAACTCCTCCCAGGAACCAGCCTACTGCTTACATGAGGGGCACAGAGACCCAGTAATAATGTCACTATAATAATATATGCATAACTCCTCCCAGGAACCAGCCTACTGCTTACATGAGGGGCACAGAGACCCAGTAATGATGTCACTATAATGGCAGAGGTAGCCAAACTCCGGCCCTCCAGCTGTGGTGAAACTACAAATCCCATGATGCATCTCTCTCCAGGAGTTATGTCTGTGGCTGTGAGAATCTTGCAATGCCTTATGGGATTTGTAGTTCCACCACAGCTGGAGGGCTGGAGTTTGGCTACCCCTGCTATTATGGTATGTACCAAACTCCTCCCATGATCCACCCAACTGCTTGCATCAGGGCTGAGGGCTCTTAAAAGGAATACTGAGGCAGGGTGCTGGGATGCTTTCAGGAAGCTATGTACAGCACCCTGTCGGCCCCTCCACCCACCAGCCATGATCTGCCTGCATTGTTAAGAGAAGTACAGGGACCACGTGTAGGGTTGCCACCTATCCAGGATTCACCTGGACAGTTCGGGTTTTGAATGCTGTGTCCGGGTTTCATGGCAGCAGAAACCCGGACACAAGATGTCAGGCAGACAGGGGCAACCAAAATTGAGATAGGGGCTACTGGCCTCCCCACTGAAAATAGTCTCAACTGTGATATTTACATATGAATAAGCCGCAGCTCATTCTCCCAAAAACATTTCTGTGCATCACTAGAGTGTTCGGGTTTCGATGGAAGAAGAGGTGGCAACCCTAACCGCGTGATGACATCACTGGGTCCTAAATAAGGTTTATAATGAGAATGTAAAGGTTTTATTTAAAAACATAATTATCATGTTGATGAGAGAGGAAAGGAGGAAGCGGAGAATGCAAAATATCAGCAGATTAAAGTGAAAGTAAAGTGAGCTTTCCAATGAGAGATCGAGAAGTGGTGAAAGGACATATGACACAGGGGGAAAATGCAGGGCCTGGTATTCCTGACCTTCTTTTGGAAATCCAAGTTGCCTGGCTATCATGCTGGTCCCTTGGCTTCTTAACTTTGTAAGTCACCTACCCAGAGCAAGCAAGCAGCAAGTCAGATTTTCTGGCAGGCTTCTCCCTGTGGAGGGGGAAGCATCGCCTGCCTATGTAATGAACACCGGTGGCTGTCTGTACACACGTGATCGAAAGTCAACAAAGTTTATTAGGAACAATAACAATCACTGAAAGGATGATTTGTATCAATCTGATCCTCTGCACATCAAAGACACGGGGAAATGGCTTTTGTTTCCCGTTCCCATCTGCGGCAGCTGTATGTGTTTATCTGTTCCCGAGCCGTGTTGCGCAATAAACCGCAGACCTCGGATCACACTGTGACTCATCCTGTCCTCATTCACTGTTACAATCATCCCGAGGTTTCAGGAAATCACATCTTCGTTATCAGATGATGTCGTTTTTTTTAGGGCCCAGAGTGGCCCTCGAACCGATGTCATCATTGAAGGATGGTTTCATATTTAGGGATGGCTTGTCTATAATCATCCAGCGCCGAATTTAGACCTTCTGGGCATACACTATATGACATGGATCACTAAATGGCAGACTGCGGTCTGGGAGCAAACTGAGTGGCATATCTGCCCTGACCATGATCACACCCCTGCGCAAGTTATTGCTGGCTGACAATGGATGCCATAACCCAGTCATTGGTTGCCAGGACCTCCAGCATCCTAACAACCAATGAAGTCAGATGTTCCCCTCCTCTGCAGTCATTGGTTGCTAGGGCCACCAGCTTCTTAACAACCAGTGATGTCTCTCCCTCCTCTGTAGTCATTGATTGCTAGGACCACCAGCATCCTAACAACCAATGATGTCAGGTTTCTCCCTCCTCTGTAGTCATTGGTTGCTAGGACCACCAGCATCCTAACAACCAATGATGTCAGGTTTCTCCCTCCTCTGTAGTCATTGGTTGCTAGGACCACCAGCATCCTAACAACCAATGATGTCAGGTTTCTCCCTCCTCTGTAGTCATTGGTTGCTAGGACCACCAGCATCCTAACAACTAATAGCGTCAGGTGTCCCTCTCCTCTGCAGTCATTAGTTGCTGGGGCTGTGTTGTGTTATACTATACAAGGTGCGCTGGGGTGCCTTTTAAGAATGAATCCACTATCCAATTCCTGCCCCCTTTACAAGCTGGCCCACCACCAGCACCGATTGGTCTATTTCCAGCGTCTCTCCCACTCCCCTTCCCGATTTTTTTGTTTGGTGAAAAGCGATTCCGTTTTATTGAAACGTCTCAGATTCTGCTGCTTGAGGCGAGATCGCCCCCTCGCCGCTCGCAGAAAGTACATTCTGTCAGGGAAAGTTTTCGGGCCCGCTGCGGGGACAATTGATATGTCACACATACATCCTGTGTGGGAGCTCAGTTCACGGGTTCCAGCGCTGGCACAATGCGCCGCGTGCGGCTCGCCGGAGTTCTGGTTCTGCAATAAAAATGCTCCCACACAGAACATTAGAGTAAAAATAACAATTATGACTGAGGTGGAGGAGCGACTTGCTTACTGTCGTCTTAGCAACGCAAATAAGCAAAAGAAGAACTTTTCAAAAGGAAATAACATTTTATCTCGGCGGCATATGGAGCCGCCGCGGCCGCACTTTGTTAGCGGTCATCTCAGCAGACCAAATTACCCAAATCAGAGGTGACTTCTAATTGCAGTCTCATATGGCTGACTGAGGAGAAGCAAAACTTCAAGGGCAAACTGAAGCCAAAACTTTTTCTATTAGTTGTAGAGAGAGTAAAGGAGGGTTATCACCTCTGTCAGCTGGGTTTTGTTTTGGCCTTTAAAGGAGAACTATGGGGTTAAGGCTTTCCCCCATAGTTCTCCTTAGGGTAACGGGAGGACACAAACCAGCGTCCTCCCGTCACCCTAGGCTCAGTATATCGCGAGCTGTAGCTCGCGGTATACTGAGACGCCGCAGCTGAAGCGGATCCTGACAATTGAGCCGGGATCAGCCCAGCTGCGTGACTGACAGCTGGCTCTGCCTATCTAGAGGCAGAGCCAGCTGTACCCGCCCCCTCCCCCGTCCGTTCCGCCAGTCAGCGCTGGCGGATCGGAGCGGGGAGGGGGGAATCCAGCCCCTCCCCTGTCACGGCAGAGAGCCGTGACAGGATCGAGAGGTGAGCGAACGCCGGTATGTGTTCGCTCACCTCCCGATCTACTGAGCCCACCTGTGACAGTCTCATTGTCACAGGTCGGCTAGAACTATGAGGTGAGTGAAAAGCACGCACCCCATAGTTCTCCTTTAATGAGAGACTGCCATGAAACCCGGACACAATATTCAAAACCCGGACTGTCCGGGGGAATCCTGTACCGGTGGCAACCATAGGCTTAAGTACTCAAGGCCCAAGGCTCTCTCCAGTATGAACACATGGTAAAAAGCCTAGGCATTTGGTCCTGTGACCGCTTCAGAAGGAAAAGATTGGCCAATCAAAGCTCTTCTCCTCCGTGCCAACCGAGATCATATGACCAGAAGGCAAGGCATTTAGTCATATGACCATCACTGGAGGGAGCCTAGAGTATTTTCTCCATGAAATGTATATTAGCTCGTCTGTTTGTTTTCGTTCACACTATAGGATTGCATTGATGCACATGTTGCCACGCTCTCTACTGCAACATGCAGGGTACATACATGCATTGGTGCAATGCGGTGCCATTCATTCTTCTTTCTATGCAGGCCCCCTAAATGTCTAGATAGCTATAATGTGGACATTTTCAGCCTCCGGTGTTAGCGCAGAGCCCCCGGATGGTGGATTTAGCTGTTATATTTCCAGAGTCTGAGTCGTTAAGAATATGGATGGGGTGACAACGCGGTACAAGAGTCGCCGCAATACTGACACACTGCACCTTATATAGAGCTCCTGAGATATTCCGAGTATTCCTTCCACTGCTGTAATGCCGATGTGAAGAATTCCAGGTACTCTCATCCGGGGCAGGATAAATATTTATAAGTGCGCTCGGCGTCTTCTCCGGATCCAGATCTTGCTCGGGCAGCGCCGCATCCTGGAGGAAAAGCCATTTTGTAAAGCCGGGTGTAAATCTTGTTGTATAAATGAGGTGATTTATATACAATGAGCAGATGTATGCACTAGTCTTCCCGGGGGCTGGTTCGTACGAGAGGCCCATGCGTGTGTTTAAGCGCTGAGATTCCATAATGGAAACCTTACTGGGTTACAGTCAACGGATATAATGAGAAATATTGTATTTTGGTTACTGTAGGGGGTTAAATTGTATCTAAAACCAAAAATAGATATATTGAAGCTTACCAGTCCTAAGATATGGTGGCTGTGTTAGTTTTCTTTTTTCAGGCTTTTTCCCTTTATGTTCACTGGTTGATCCTGCCAATAACATACTTCCTGTCCTAGAATGACAACACCTACTCACTGTAATGCATGGAGGAGCAACGTTGCCACCCTAGGCTGACCACCTGATTTGGACTACAAACATCTCACCCTTCTTCCTATCTCCATTACATAGAGGGGAGCGAATACCACATTTCCTGTCCCTTCGTGTCTACACTGATGTATATGGGGGGGGGGGGGGCCACGCAGGGGAGAATATTTTAATGAGGCTGTTGCCTTAGGTGGCATCTCTTTTGGTCATGTGCGGCGGCAGGCAGAGAGGCATGGCCGCTCTGCTGTACAACGTTTGATATGTGCTTGCCGTCCACTTTCCAGCCAGACTGTCCCAGGCTGCTAAGTGCTGGGCGGAGATATGAAGGCCATACACATCTCCTCACCCAACTCTTAGCAATCTAAACGCTTGGCCAGCGTCCCACCCAGCTCCTGGAAACCAGTGATGTCATTGGTTGCCAGGAGCTGGCCGGGACGCTGGCCAGAGCATCCCAGGTTGCCAAGAGCCAGGCTCTGCAAAGGGCAGTGTGCATCACCACACCACTCCCCTCCAGCTTTAGGTGGCAAAAATGCTAGGGGCATCACTGGAGTGATCAATGCAGCCACCACATCTAATGACTGGTAAACGGCAACTATATTTTGTTCTTTTTGTTTAGATTTCCTTATATATGAATTTTTATTTCACATACCTTTAAATTTTTGCATGCCGGCCAAGCTGTCCAGCAACAGAGACAGTTAAAGGAGTTAGGACAAACCATTTAGCACTGATGGGTGCTTACCACGGTCAGCTTGAATTCGTATGGTTAAGCCTTGTTAGAATAAATAAAGCTGTAACTCTGCTATGGAGGAAGAAAGAAGATGATGGTTAGGTGCTGGAGGCCATTTTTTAGGGTTATCTGTTGCTTTAGCCTTTACTGTGCTTATTGGAAAAGGGAACCAAATCTAAATGTCTATTCAAAAATATCTTCAATAAAAATTTGCTTTCCTATAGTAATCCATGTTTTCGTACATGGACTGTGCTTGTAGATTGTAAGCTGCGTGTACCAGCCTGGAGTAACCTGGAGTAACTGACTGCTTTGTTTTATCTGTTGTAGGACTCTGGAATACCTGAGCCGACACTTGACACACATCGCCTCCTTCAGCACCACCACCAACATGCACATCCGGAACCTGGCACTTGTTTGGGCACCTAACCTACTCCGGTATGTCTTCCTGAAAGGGTTGTGCCCCCCAAAATAGATGTAGGTGTGGCCTGATGGGGTGAGTTATCTGCTGGCTTCCCATTTGTCTTGAGGAATAAGCCAGTGCCCAACATTAGGTGGACCCACTCTTCCTGTTGAATGCTTTAGAGCAGTGGTTCTCAACCTGTGTAACCTCAGGACCCACATTTGTCCTCGATCATTAAGTCAAACCCAGTGCGGGTTGTGACCCAAGTCGCACTGCAATGGAACACACGGCAGTGTGGGCTGCTGTGCTGGAGCTCCATCCATATGTGCATTGCTTGCACAGCTCCTATGTGTGCCTGTAGAGGTGTTGGGAGCCAGAATGTGATGTCACTACAGTCCAGGCAACTCTACAGGACATGCAAGGGAGCTAATAGCAATGCACGTATGGATGGAGCTCCCTCAGCCCACCCGACCTCAAGTCGACACTTGGCACTTGGCGCTGGGCAGCATATTTTGAATGGCTGCTCAGTGTAAGAATAGACACTACTGCACTAGGAGGAGGCTGAGGAGCCTCTCACCTAGAAAAGTGGAAGGCATGCGGCGACCCACTAAACACGGGGTCGCGACCCTCTTTTGGGTCACGACCCACCAGTTAACCAAGGCTTTATAGCATATAATTAAAGCCCAACTCCAGATTAGGGCATCCCTTCCTGTGTTTTTTTTAGCCCTACTCTCTTAAATCATCCCCCACTGTTCTTTTTTTAAAATAAAATGTTTCTATGCTTCCTTTTTGTAGGGATCCTCATTGTGGACATGTGATGCCACAGGTCCTCTTTTCTCCTCCTTTTCTGAAGGTGGACAGGTCCTGAATGTTGCAGGAAGCAGCATCACATAATAACATGATTTTGCTATTTGGAGCATTCTCCTGTGACCCCCATGGTGGCCTCATGGGCTGGCTTACCCCCGGGAGGTCCACGATGCCCTGGGCTAATGGGAAGTGGGTTGAATGATTGCGCGTCATTCAACCCAAAAGAGGACATGGGCTGGATCTCAGAGTGTTGAGTCTGTCGGGGAAAGCGATTGAGATATGTTGAGTAGTGCAGTCAGAGCTGTTTTATTTTTTAATTTATTTTTCAAATGGTGGCCAAATAAAAAAAGTAGAAGCTTGAGTTGGGCTTTGGGTAAATGGTTGACAGACAGAAGGAAGTGCCCTAGTATTAGCGGTCATTCTTTTGTGGTGATTGTGGTGGCACTTGGGATTGGGATGTGGTAGGTTTCCTTGGAACTTTTTGAATCTTGATGTTGTTTCTGTGGGTCTGAATGGTTGTCATGGAAGGTAACCCTTCAAGAGAAGGTCCAGACCAGAACATTGTTTTGTCTGGTCCAAAACCGCATCCCCATTCGTTCCCCATACGTTCCTGAAGGACAGTGTTGATTCACAGCATGTGTTGTCTTTCAGATGTAAAGAGATCGAGGATTCGGGGTGTAACGGAGATGCAGCGTTTCTTGAAGTTCGGATTCAACAGATTGTCATCGAGTTTATCCTGAATAACGTGGAACAGATCTTCAGGAATGATCCACCATCTCCCATCAAACAGAAAGAAGAGGACCACTTCCCCAACAACAAGGTTCCAGGTAACCCAGCAGGACATCCAATGTCTATCTCCAAGTTTGCCCTCACTTCCTGTCCCGGTGACAACAGTCTTTAAGATCCTCGAAGTGGATTTTTTTTGCTGCCTGTGTCCAGTGGTGTCACAAGGGGGATGCGGCCCGCACCGGGTGACACCATCAGAGGGGGTGACACCAGAATGACTGAAAGGGTAGATTCGTTCTATTTGTCTTGGTGACCATCGTCTCGGAGAGAGAAAGTGATTGGTGATCCCAGGGGCATCCCGAGGCTGGGTGACACCCGGAGCGGAGACCGCGCATGCGACATGCGGCCATCTTGGGGATGGACGCCGGCAGAGAGAGGAGGGGACGTTCACCCGGCGGGATGAGGTATGCCAACCGGGTCCCCTCCTCTCTCCTGACACTGTCGGGAGCGAGTGTCGGGAGCAAGAGCAAGTGCCCGACTTTTCATAGGGGGTGACACCAAAATGACTGTCGGTCATTTTGGTGTCACCCCTCCAATGGTAGCACCCGGGTGCGGGCCGCACCTCCCTTGTGATGCCACTGTGTAATCCAAATATGACAGTTGTGAAGAGAAATCTTCCAATGGAGACACCGGTTCCTGTGTAGCAACAAGAACGCAAAGTGACTGTGTGGCTGTTACAAAGTCACCAGTGTGACATGGGCCTTGGGTGTTGTAGTAATGTAGAGCCCTGGTGCCCAACCTGTAACATGAGGGCCACATGCAGCTCTTGTAGCATGTCTGCAGTCTTTGACCATCTCCAGTAGTACATCTGCAGTCTCTGACCATCTCCTGTAGCATGTCCACCGTCTTTGATCATCTCCTATAGCATGTCTGCAGTCCCTGACCATCTCCTATAGCATGTCTGCAGTCCCTGACCATCTCCTATAGCATGTCTGCAGTCCCTGACCATCTCCTATAGCATGTCTGCAGTCCCTGACCATCTCCTATAGCATGTCTGCAGTCTCTGACCATCTCCTGTAGAATGCTTGCAGTCTCTGACTATCTTCTGTAGTGTCTCTGCAGTCTGTGATAGTCTCCTGTAGTAGGTCTGCAGATCCTGACAGTGTCATGCGGTACGTCTGCAGTCTCTGACCAACTACTGTGGTATGTGCGCCATCTCTGACAGTCTCTAGTAGAATGTCTGCAGTCTCTGGAAATCACCTGTGGCATCACACCAACTAAATATTATATGTGGCCCCCTGGTTGATGTCAGGATGGGGGGTGGGGGTGGGGCGTAAGCTGAGGCCTCCTAGCCCTTGTGAGTTGACCACCACTGGTGCAGAGGATCTACTTGCGCTTTCTCAGATTCTGGCCTGCTACTCTGTTCACGCTGGCCCTAAGCGGGACCCATTTTGCTGAAAATTAGCAGCCCCGGGCTCCCTGTGCAACGTCCTTTCATTGGTCAGTTCAGTGATTTTAATTGAACACAGTTGGATCCGTTCACAAAGGCAGCACACCAGGATAAGGACACTTATTTTATATTTTTTTTTTTAAATGACAGTTATTTTTTGCTGAGACCAATAAGATTTACAGATGACAGTCACATGACTAAAATAAAGATACTTCTCTGGGTGTCAGAGCTTTGTGAATTGAGTCTTGTATCCGGATTCTTAAGATGAGAGCGTTTCTAGTCAGTGTAAGTGAACCAGTGACCGTGGATAGGGGAGGGGAAGAGCGACAAAGCCTACAAACCACATGTTTGGACTCCTCAGACGTTTGGCAGTCACTGCAGAGTAAACAAAAACATGGCGTGCGCTCCCTCATAAATAAATCCTCTGCATTTTTGGCTGTGCCGCGGGCCCGTTGCTTGTCCTCGGCGAAACTACGTTTCTTCTGGTAATTAGGCCGCTGTCCTACCCCCCGTGCCAGTATGTGTAACGCGTCGGTTCTGTTTCCACTTTGCAATGTTTTTGTTGTTTCTTACCTTGGGAACTCGGAGGTAATTAAATAATGACGCCCCGAAATCGCTCTGCGTGTTAAATGACGACGGCGGCCGGGTTCATGTCCGTGTCACTTCCCGGTTGCAAAAGCAACAAAAACAACAACAGACAAAATTTACGTGTCATCCCTTCGCGGGGACGTGGCCTTAAAGGGGAACTCCAGGATTTGTAAAAGTTAACCCTTGCAGTGGGGCTACCCTGACACTGCAATTGTTGACGGTTCGTTTTTCTCTAGGGGGCTAAGAAGATTTGATGCTCGGGCCTGTCTGGTTGCTAGACCGGTCCCCACGGCCTCTTTATCCCCGGGCTCCGGCGGTCTAAGGTCCTGTGAGTCATCACTTCTAATCAGGGCCGTAACTACAGATCACAGGGCCCCATAGCAAAAATGTGATGACCTCTCTCGGAGCTGTGAGTAAGGATGCCAAGATCCCAAAGCAAGGGCGTCACCTGGAGCAAATACCGGGTGACACCCCACTGTGACATCATCCCGCATGCGCGTGACATCACCACACGTTTGCACAATGACGTCATCGCGAATGCTCGGTCATCTTATTGGCACCTGCCGGCGGCCATCTTGGTGATGGATGCCGGCAGGGAGAGGAGGGGACGTTCACCCGGCGGGATGAGGTATGCCGCCCGGTCCCCTCCTCTGTCCTGATACTGTCGGGCTCTCGGTCCATGACCGAGTGCCCGACTTTTCAGAGGGGGCTGATAGTCATTTTGGTGTCACTCCTCCAGTGGTGTCACACAGGTGCGGGCCCCACCCCCCGCACCCACCTTGTGACGCCACTGTCCCGAAGACTGGTGCATCTGAAGTCATCTCTACACTGTAGACTTTACTGGGCATTAGAGTTGTCATCAGCGGCAACCACTCCAACCCTTAATGATACAGTCATGTATTGTCTTCAACTGTTCTATGTTTCATTTACCTCAACGACCTAATTTGGTCCCCTTCCACCCCCAGGCCCCATAGCAGGTGTCTGGGCTGCTATGGCTATAGTTACGCCGCTGCATCTAATAATGTCTTAGATGCGAGGAAGCCAAGGGACATACCATTGTGGGAGCTGAGGGAGATAGGGGGGTCACTGCCGCAGGCTTGAGGATCGGGTGAGTATATCTTTTTTTATTTTCGCCCCTAGAGAAAAACAAGCAGTTAACCCTTGCAGTGCAGGGGCTAGCCCCATCGCAAGGGTCACATTTTGACTAAAACCTGGAGTTCTTCTGCAAGGGGAGAAGGAGAAGAAGGATTCATCACGTCTAATAATGTATTAGCTGCAATGGGGGGGGGGGGGGGCGGCACTGCAAGGGTTTACATTTGCAAATGCTCTCTAAAAAAGCTTGTTAGCCCTAATCAGTGCAGGGTGTGGAAATCACTGTGTAGCCGTAGTGAGTAGGCGTGATCCAGACTGTCCCGTTTCACTGAAATATCAACGAAATTCCACCTGAAGGCTCCATTTTGGGGAATTGCATTGGAGTCAGTAGCGAAGGTGAAATTAAATGGGTGAAGGTGGGACCCCGTGGCTGCTGAAAACCCGGACAGTGACAGCTTCTGGTCAGATGCACTCAAGGTCAACAATTTTCCACCCAACTCCTTGAACAAAAGTCGATTAAAAAAGAAACAAACTCAAAAATAAATATCCTAAAAAAGTCAATTCTTTGGCTTGTTTTTAATGTATTTTGTTGATATTTGAGTTGTTTTAGGCAATAGCATAAAATAGCGAAGTTTCCACTGTTAACGCTGCTTGTGTTGTCGTCTTTTATTTTTGTATTTTTTTTATATTGTCACCTTTGCAAATTTTACATATTTGCTGAAAATTTTCATAAAGCAGATCTGCAAATTTTGTAAGAAAGCGAAAGGATCTTGGATCCCTCGCCATGACTATGGGGAGAGTAAAATGCACTCATCCCCACAGTTAGAGCACTGCAGCTGTCACACCTCGGCTCTATAGATAGATAGAGAGAACTGATCGATCACAAATCACTGATCACTAAGTTCTCGATCTTCTCCCTGCAGACAGCGGTCACTGTCAGCCACCGTTCCTCGCGGGGATTCCCCCCCTCTCTGTTCCTGCAACGCTGACTAGATGAATGGACAGGGGAGGGGGTGGGCACAGCTGGCTCTGGCTCTAAAGAGGCGGAGTCAGCTGTTAATCAGGTGGCGGGATGGATCCCAACAATATAATCCTTCCCTGCGACAGTGCAGCTCTGCGCTGTCAGCATATAGCAGGTAATAGCCCGCTATATACTGAGTTTTGGGTCACAGGAGGACATTAGTAAATGTTCTCCTGTGACCCTAAAGGGAACTTTGGACAAAAAAGTTTTTACCGTGGATCTCTTTTAGTTGGTCTCCATATATATTACGGTAACTTGCATCTTCTTTCTCCTCCCTCTGCAGAATGCCGGATAGTGAAAAGTATGACCCTACCGTCCGGATCGCTACCCATGAAGCTGGTCAGCCTGGAGGAGGCACAGGCCAGGAGTCTCTCCGCCACTCACCCTGCCCGAAAGGAGAGACGGGAAAACAGCTTACCCGAGATCGTACCGGTCACCGGGACCTTATTCCACACGGTCATCGACCTTCCAGAAAACAAGTGAGTTTCAGCAGCATGTTGTAATATTGCTTAGACCCCCCCCCCAACAAAAGCTATTCACTGGGGGTGTCTCGCTGCACCCCCAATTCGCACAAGCCTTGATGCATGTTGGTGGCAGTGAGTGTGTGTTGCTGAATGGCTTCCAGTGGACTGAGCAAATCTATTGAATAGCGTCACAAAACCCATCCAAGGCAAGATTTTCTCAGTCTACTGGAAGCCAGAGGTGGGTTCCAGTGGACTGAGCAAGACGTGATGGAGTGTCTGAAAAGTTTGATCAGCTGTAGTTCAACTGAACTTCTAAAAACATTCACAGGCGCAATTAGGCACAGGCTCTCCCAAGATGGCGCCTGGAGTCCACGGTGGAGGACATATTAGTCCCCCTAGTAGTCAAACAAGGAAGTGACTAAGAATCCCCCCCGATCCCCTCATCATTTCACGCACAGCCAGCCCAATGGTGGGGAAACATGGCTCCTGGGTGGCCACCAGCTGCTCCACCTGGTACATGCAGATAAGACAAAACCCATCCCGGGTGAGAATTGCTCAATCCATTGGAAGAAGATGACCCCCCGAGGAAGAGGGTGTGCCCTCAAAATGATATACTTTGGAGGCAGTGACTATGAGTTGCTCAATAGTTTCATCATTTGGTCACCTGGGAACTTATTCCGCGTGGCCACCAGCCTTCCAGAAAACCAGCGACTTTCGGGTGCATGTTGTAAAATCGCTTAGACCCCCCCCCAACAAAAACCATTCCCTAGACTAAAATTGGGCCCCCAAAACACGTAAGCCTTGATGCACGTTGGAGGCAGTGATGAAAAGTTGCTCAATGGGTCCATCATTTGGTCACCTGGGACTTTATTCCTCATGGCACTGACCTTCCAGAACACAAGTTTTGGATGTATGATGTAAAAATGCGTGACCCCCCCCCAACAAAAGCTATTCACTAGAGGTGACTTAAATTGCACCCCGAAACACGTAAGCTTTGATACATGTTGGAGGCATTGACGATGAGTTACTCAATGGGTCCATAATTTGGTCACATGGGACCTTATTCCACGTGCTCATTGACCTTCCAGAAAACAAGGTTCGGGGGGCAATGTTGTAAAAACGCTTAGACCCCCGTTAACAAAAGCCATTCACTAGAGGTGACTTAAATTGCACCCCGAAACACGTAAGCCTTGATACACATTGGAGGCATTGACGATGAGTTGCTCAATAGGTCCATAATTTGGTCACATGGGACCTTATTCCACGTGGTCATTGACCTTCCAGAAAACAAGTTTGGGGTGCATGTTGTGAAATTGCTTAGACCCCCGTTAACAAAAGCCATTCACTAGAGGTGACTGAAATTGCACCCCCGAAACACGTAAGCCTTGACCCACGTTGGAGACGATGACCGTGTGCTGCTGGATGGGTTCTTCAGTTGGTTTCCTGTCTCAAACGGACCTCGGATGGATTTTGTGTCAGAAGTTCCATGGAAGATCTCAGGCGTGGCCTCCGGTTTTTCCGTCCATCATATAGGGATCTGAATTTAGGGATCAACTCCGTATCAGAGGGATTCAGTTCCACGAAGGGACAACAGGGGACCCCGCAGAGGACCTGAGTCACCTTTAGCAAACAAGGTGTGTGACGTTGACTCTTATCTCCAGCGGCTCCCATTGTGTGGAGGGCTCAGCATGCGAAGAATTTCTGTGAAGTTCTGTCCCGCGGAATGTTATTGTACGGCGGCGTTTCAGATTCCTCCTGATAAAGGAAGTGTGTTTACCTGGACTGACACATGAAGAGCAGATCTTATCACACATGGGATGGGGGCGGCTTGTCACCATCTGCAGCTCCACAGCCATTTAGAGGACAAGGGCCCGGAGCAGATGTGCTACCTCCTGGATGGCCCAGGCTGCGGGAGAACCCATAACATCCGTTGTAGCTCCTCTCCTAAGGCTGAACTCCGGGAAAAATGCTAAATACACAGAGAGTCTTATATGGGAGCTGCTGTGCCTGCCAAAGGATTTGTATTTTTATCCATCCAGTCCTGAGATTCAAACAGCTCCTTCCTGATAGGAGGAGAGAACAGAGTGGCAGAGATGAACTCCCTGATAGGAGGAGAGAACAGAGTGACAGAGATGAACGCACCAGTCTGCTACTTCTCCTTTCACAGTACAGCCAAAGGGGATTTGTATTTCTGTCCATCCAGCCCTTGGGTTTAAACAGGGGTGGGGGTGGATGAGGAAGCTTGTAGGGGAAAGTGGAACTGCTGCAAAGAATGATCAGGTCCCCTCCCTGCTAGATACGACTGTGCTGTGTGGCAGAGCTGTGTAAATCTCAGGACTGGATGGGTAGAAATAGACAAAATCTTCACTCCATGACCGAATATATTTGAGTTCAAAGCTTTCGAGAATACTGCATTGTCTTTGTCCAGCACAGGGTCCTGTGTCACTCTTCCACAAATGGGAAAAAAAACACTCTTCCACAATAGATACAAATAGTGCTGATGCCGGTTCTTCTCTATATGAGGGATAAGTTATAGTTGTGGCGGAGCAGTAAGGGAACGGAGGAAGGTGAAAAACTTCTATTACAACTGATCATTGGAGTCCAATCCTAATGGTGAATGTGGTGAAAGGCTGTCACCTAGTGTTCAGATTGCAGAACTACAGTCAGTTTTATATATATATATACTGTATATAAACCCTGTTTGGTGATATAAATGCATTTTAAAATGAATTTAGCCAGTTGGCATAAGGGATTCTAAAAAAGCCCAAAATACAATTTAGACCTTTTACGTCCACATTATATCATACGTGAATAGGGAGTACTGTGTATAGGGTCCCTGGAATTAATAGAAGGTTGTCATGACTGGGCTTTCTGCTCTGCTTCTGCTTTGTAAAAGTGCTCTACATGAAAGATGAACTCAAAATGTACAAGCTGCATACAATCACATCAAGGAGCAGCTTCCATGCTGTTGGCCTCTGTGTGTGTGTCGATGTCTTCAGCAGTCTTCTCCTTCTTTCCTATCAACTGCATTAAGGTGCCCATACACTGTACGATTCTCGTACGAGAATCGCGGGAAATCCCACGATCGTACGAGAATCGCACAGTGTATGGAAGGCGTGCGACCGTTTCTACTGTACGATTCGTACGATGGGGCGGGTTAGTGGCCTGCTTGTTCGACAACTGCCGAACGGGCCGGTTTGCAGTGATCGGAAGCCCGCCCCTCACTGCGGTCATCGGAAGCCCGCCCCTCAGCAGGGGGCGGGCTTTCGATGATCGCAAGTACGATCTGCCCGTCCAAGATGGGCAGATCGTACGAGCTTTCAATGAGCTTACGACCATCGCAAGACAAAGGTCTTGCGATGGTCGTAAGGTGTATGGGCACCTTTACACAAGTCGTTGCCTGCGCCAAGCCTATGGAAGTGTAGACCAATGATTGACAGGTGTGAAGATTTCGATTAACAATGATCAGGAAGGAACTGATGAGTGACACATCTGTGTAAAACATGCCCATTGACATTAACCACTTTCATAACCAGCAGTTCTGCTGCAGAGGAAGTAGCAAGCTTAGTATTGAATAGGCATGAGCTCAGGTTCAGACCAAACCCAGTTCAAACCTGTGCTCCTCTGACCTCAGGAGCTGCCCGCCCAGTCAGTCGAGGACCGGGGCATTAACTGCCCCACAGCTGCACATAAACATAGGGGGGTGCTCGTGCTGACATCATTGACCTTATATGACCATATTAGGTAAATGTCATTGACCAAATATAGCCAAATGACCATATAAGGCAATGACATCACTGCATCCCACCCCTATGCTTATGTGTAGCTGTCAGCAAGGAATTCCTTCCTTCTGAAGGCAGAAAGAACCTTCCTTCCATGTTCTAACCTGAGCTCATCCCCTCTCCTGAACCCTCCAAAGCCTCCTGAGTCCAACATATTTTCCAGAACTTACCTCAAGCCCTGATGAAGGGGCTACTGTCCAAACCCCCCGAAATAAGTTGGCTTTTAAAAAAAAATGTTTTGTTCTTTAGGATAACATAAAGAAGTTCTGGACTTTGAAACTAGCGGTGTGGCTCTCTTGTCTCCTCCTTAATGTCACAGGCATTAGATGGCAGTCTTCAGATGATGATCTAAGGTTTAGAGGGCACGTGCGAAGACACCAGAGTACACCACTCCAGAGGCGTATCTACAACAAATTGCACCCCTGGCGTCCCACCTAGCTCCTGGCAACCAGTGATATCACTGGTTGCCAGGAGCTGGTAGTCCCAGGTTGGTAAGAGCAGGGCGGGAAGATGTGTAAGGGCCATACACATCTCCCTGCCTGGCTCTTAGCAACCTGGAATGCTCTGACCGGCATCCCACCCACATACACATCGCCTTGCCGCTCTGGTTGCTAAGAGCCGGGCAGGTAGATGTTATATAACTGGATGAGCAGCGCTAAGAATTCAATTTTTATAAAGCACGTGAGCATAAATACCATTAAATCAAAAATATAGAATATAATTTAAACCACAAATTGTGCCTTTTTCTACCACATTATAGTAAATATGGTACAATAAGTAGGTGAAAACAAAATTGGATACAATTGATCTGAATCATATGTGACAACCCTAAAATGTATCGTGTCGAACAACCGATACAAAGTGTACTGATATGTTAATATTAGATCCCCGCTTAAAGGAGAACTATGGTTTCAGAGCCAGCTGTACCCGCCCCCTCCCCCGTCCGTTCCGCCAGTCAGCGCTGGCGGATCGGAGGGGGGAATCCAGCCCCTCCCCTGTCACGGCAGAGAGCTGTGACAGGATCGAGAGGTCAGCGAACGCCCGTATGTGTTCGCTCACCTCCCGATCTACTGAGCCGACCTGTGACAGTCTCATTGTCGCAGGTCGGCTAGAACAATGAGGTGAGTGAAAAGCACCCACCTCATAGTTCTCCTTTAATGGTAGATCTGTATAGTGTTGGCGGAGTTCATTGGAAGCTGCTGTACTATAGGCCACTGGATCTAAAGATGTTTCAACTGAGTATACAGCGCTAATAACTCAATCAGTGAATGTTGAAAAAACGAAATACAGGTTTATAAACGCAAAGTGTTTTTAACATGTGAATGAATACATCACTATGGCGCAATAGGTATAAACCTACTTAATAAACCAAACAACAAGTGGCATGTGAGTACGCACTCTGGAAGGGGGATGTGTTGGCATCAATACAAACCCCAGTAAAGCACTATTTAAACTACCGAACACTGGAAGGCTCTACTACCCGTTATTGAAGTGGAGCTGATTATCACAGAGACTTTTTTTTTTTTTGTTCACATATATGTTTTGTTGTACAATGATATAATTGCACAGTAAGGACTAAGCACTATTTATTTAATTGCGATCTCACACTATTAAGGTGAAGGATGTTATGGATTCATTTATTCCATTGTAGTGAGGATGGCACAAAGGATTGACACCTTTATATACCTTCACCTTGACACCTTCACGGTTGATATAAATCATTTAACTCTGTAGAGGGCATCTACACTAATAGAGTTCATTTCTACAACATTATCTGGTATTTTTTGTTTCACATGCCACTTGTTGTTTGTGCAGGTAGATGTATACGGTCCTTACACATCTTCTCGCCCTGCTCTTAGCAACCCGGGATGCTCTGGCCGGCGTCGCGCCCACATACACATCTCCCTGCTTCTCTGGTTGCTAAGAGCCAAGCAGGTAGATGTGTATGGTCCTTACACATCTTCCCACCCTGCTCTTAGCAACCTGGCATGCTCAGGGCAGCATCCCACCCAGCTCCCGGCAACCAGTGATGTCACTGGTTGCCGGGTGCTGGATGGGATGCTGGCCAGAGCATCCCCAGTTGCTAAGAGCCGGGCAGGGACATGTATATCGGAGATGAAAGGTGGTGGGGAGAGAAAAAAAGTCTGCTGTCTCCATAGGTCGGTGAACTCTTGCTCACCCAGAGAGCGGCGTCCCCCTTCAAATGGCACCCAAGACATGTGCAATATGTACCATACCCTGGATACGCCACCCCCACCACTTTCCAATTGTTGGATTTATACAACCATACATATGTAAGGATGCACTAAGACCGATGTGTCAGGCTTGTCCCCCGCACATCTGAGTGCCTACAGCCAGCTTAACCCAAAAAAGCGTTATTCACTACACACGGCTCCTTTTAATCTGAAGATCTGAATAATAAATAATGAATTCTGCAGGCCTAGATTTGAATAGCCCAGAGCAAAAAATCTAATAATGATAAAGCCGTGGCCCAGCTGCACCTGAGACTTCCCACATAGCGGGCACAGATGCCGCATCTCGTGTCTGTGGGAGAGACGGAGGTGGCAGAATGCGTTGTTGTACTCCTCATTTCATGTCGCACTCTGGAAGGTCAGCGAAGAAGGACTTGTAATGAGCGTAGGAGGACACCAGACGAGGACGTCCTTGAGTTTTTAATGGCGCCTTTCAAGAGTTCACGCTGAGAAAAGTATCTGGAATTGTGAGAGAAGCAAAAAAAAAAAAACATTCTGCTGCTTTTATAGAACATCTGTGATTTATAATTCTGCATCTCTGTTCCATGAAGAACGTTCAGGAAGCGACTTAGAATATAACATCTGCTGTGCTTGTAAATACCTGAAGATGTAACAATGATATTCATTGCGACATCTCCAGGTATTTAGGCAAATTCATATTAATGAATGCAGCATTTGCTCCAGACCTGCACGGCCAATCAGAGATTTGGAGCCCCATAAGGGAAGATCTAAGATGCAGAATTTGGGGAAAGCTATCCAGAAGTGAATATATATACACACTATATTGCCAAAAGTATTGGGACAGCCCTCCAATTCATTGGATTCAGGTGTTCCAATCACCTCCATGGCCACAGGTGTATACAATCACGCACCTCGGCATGCAGACGCTTCTACAAACATTTGTGAAAGAATGGGTCACTCTCAGGAGCTCAGTGACTACAAGCGTGGTACCGTGATGGGTTGTCACCTCTGCAATAAGTCCATCCGTGACATTTCATTGCTACTAAATATTCAGCCGTCACCTGTTAGTGGTATTATAACAAAGTGGAAGCAACTGGGAACAACAGCAACTCAGCCAGGAAGTGGTGGGCTACGTAAAATGACAGAGCGGGGTCAGCGCATGATGAAGTGCACAGAAGTCGCCAACTGTCTGCAATAGACCTCCAAACTTTGTGTGGCCAGATTGGCACAACAACAGTGCATAGAGAGCTTCATGGAATGGGTTTCCATGGCCGAGCAGCTGCATTCAAGCCTAACATCACCAAGTGCAATGCAAAGCGTGGGATGTCGTGGTGTAAAGAACACCACCACTGGCCTCTAGAGAAGTGGAGACGTGTTCTCTGGAGTGAACAATCACACTTCTCCTTCTGGCAATCCGATGGACGTGTCTGGGTTTGGCGGTTGCCAGGAGAACGGTACTTGCCTGACTGCATTGTGCCAAGTGTAAAGTTTGGTGGAGGGGGGATTATGGGGGGGGGGGTTGTTTTTCAGGGGTTGGGCTTGCCCCCTTAGTTCGTGTGAAGATAAATCTTAAGGCATCAGCATACCAAGACATTTTGGACAATTTCATGCTCCCAACTTTGTGGGAAGAGTTTGGGGATGGCCCCTTCCTGTTCCAACATGACTGTGCACCAGTGCACAAAGCAAGGTCCATAAAGACATGGATGGGGGAGTTTGCGGTGGAGGAACTTGACTGGCCTGCACAGAGTCCTGACCTCAACCCGATAGAACACCTTTGGGATGAAATAGAGCGGAGACTGCGAGCCCGGCCTTCTCCTCCAAAATCAGTACCTGACCTCACAAATGGTCCAACATTATGGGCGCTTTCCCAGAAGAGTTGAAGTTGTTATAGCAGCAAAGGGCAGAGCCAACTCAATATTGAACCCTACGGACTAAGACTGGGTTGCCACTAGAGTTTATGTGCGTGTAAAGGCTGGCGTCCCAATACTTTTGGCAATATAGTGTATTTCTTTATTATGGTCAAAATGAAGAGATGGAGCTCTCATTTCGTTATTACATTTTCTGAGCTCTTCTTATCTACTCTGCTGAAAAAAAAATCCCTCTGTCTTCCTTCTTAGCTGATTTTTCACATGATTCCTCAAAACATTTCAATTAGAGAGAGTCTGAAAGTAAACAGCTCCTGTTGTGTTCTTCCTATAGAAAACCCAGAGCGGGCTGTAAAGTATATGTCATGGATGAACCCTGTGATGGTTATTTAACATTAAGCATTTATTTTGTATTAAGTAATTCAATATTTTGCACTTGTCTTCTCAACAGACACAGCTAAATAAGTCAGGAGGGGCACCCTACCCCATTCTTACTAAAGCTGGCCAAACCCAAGGCAACATTTGCTCTATGTCTGGCCCTGTTAGCAGCCTCCCACCCAACATCCTTCAAGCTAAAAACTGAAGGTGCTGGACATTTTTGGCTGAACAGTGGCTGTAGCCAATCAGCTAAAGTCTTTCTTCGGGTATTCTTACAACGCTACACCAAATGCTGTCAGGATACAAGTTGGGGATTCCTCTATCTACACAAGCCTTTCTCAACCAGGGTGCCACCTGGCTCTGGGAAGGGTGCCTTCAAATGGGGGGTGGGGCTCTAATGTGAAGGGGGCTTCTAATATGTGGGGGACTCTGATGTGAAGGGAGCTTCTAATGTGAAAGGGAGGGACTCTTAAATGAAAGGTGAAACTCCCTGTTGGGTGTTTTTGCCTGGGTTCCCTTCTTAAAATCCATACCAGACCCCTGTCTATGGTAAGTGTTTGGTATTGACTGTGTGGGGTGGGACCCCACTGCGTTTTTTATATTTTTTATATTTATATTTCTTCCATTTTAGACTGGGGTGTCTAAAGGTTGAGAAACGCCGATCTACGCTGTTCGTGTAGATAGAGGAATCTGTTCAATTTTTTTTTTCCGTTCAGCCAGCAAGTTGAACAAAAAAAAACTACTAGTGTATGGTCAGCTTAACCCATACAGAGCTAAATGGATATGCAATTAGACAGTAGCGTTCACATTAGACATGTGCGATTCGTTTCGTTCCGAATCAAAATTCGGACGAATTTTCGGAAATTCGGACATCCGGATGTATCCGAATTCCGAATTCCAGACATAACAAATGCAAACAAATCCGAATTTCCATTTCCGAAATTCGGTAGCGGTAGTTCGAACGTTCGTTTCGTTTTCTGTTCTTATTCGTTTCTTATTCGTTTCGTTCGTTGGAGCAAAGTGACATTAGAGGAGAAAAATATTTTTGCCCCCTCAAATGTCACTTTGCTGCAAACGAACGAACGAAAGGAATAAGAAACGAATAAGAAACGAATAAGAACAGAAAACGAAACGAAAGTTCGAACTTACGCTACCGAATTTCGTCCGAATCTGAATTCCGAATCCGAATTGACTTTCACACCCGAATCCCGAAAAACGAAATAACACAAATCCGAATTTAAAATGAAACGAAACTAAACGAATTTTTTGGCAGTGCACATGTCTAGTTCACATAGCAGTCCGAGTAGCAGTCCTTGTGTTAAATATTTGCCTATATTTACCCATTACACTTTGCATTTCTCTGCAGGAGGAAACTGTCCACGAAGTCTAAGAAATGGAAATCCATATTTAACCTGGGCCGTTCTGGAACCGAGTCCAAATCCAAACTGAGCCGCAATGGCAGTGTGTTTGTTAGAGGACAGAAAGACATGGGCGGTAAGTGTGCACTCTCTCTGGTTAGGTTATGAAAGACTTCTCTCCCTCACCATGATGGCCAAACCTATAGTAGTGCCAGTGTTTGCTGGTGGTGCCCAGTGTATATGTATATGGCCGGCCCGACTGCTAAAGAGATTGAGTTCCACCATGTTCATTGTCTAGATATGTCAGACTAACGTTAATCACATGTCTTTGCAGAGAAAGCTACGATCCGACCTGCTAAGAGTATGGATTCCCTGTGCTCTCTTCCTGCAGAAGGTCAGTAAATAGCTCATACGTGAGAGTTTAATTTACTTTCCAGTTAAACGTAAACATTTGACATTTAAACTGGGGGAGCTGTTCCCAGGTTTCAGGCACCATCCTCTGTCATTGTGCTGAGAATTTCACTCAGAGAATCTTGTAACTAAAGCTGCAGTCCCTCCAAGAACCACCATGAAAGCTTGCTGGGTCAGCCTGAAGGGTAGGGGGTGGATAGTATGGAAGAAGGATAGGGAAAGGATAGTATGGAAGAAGGGTAGGGGAGGAGAGTATGGAAGAAGGGAAGGGGAGGATAGTATGAAAGAAGGGTGGGGGTGGATAGTATGGAAGAAGGATAGGGAAAGGATAGTATGGAAGAAGGGTAGGGGAGGAGAGTATGGAAGAAGGGAAGGGGAGGATAGTATGAAAGAAGGGTGGGGGTGGATAGTATGGAAGAAGGATAGGGAAAGGATAGTATGGAAGAAGGGTAGGGGAGGAGAGTATGGAAGAAGGGAAGGGGAGGATAGTATGAAAGAAGGGTGGGGGTGGATAGTATGGAAGAAGGATAGGGAAAGGATAGTATGGAAGAAGGGTAGGGGAGGAGAGTATGGAAGAAGGGAAGGGGAGGATAGTATGAAAGAAGGGTGGGGGAGGAGAGTATGGAAGAAGGGTAGGGGGGGAGAATATAGAAGAAAGGTGGGGGAGGAGAGTATGGAAGAAGGGTAGGGGGAGGAGAGTAGGGGAAGGGTAATATGGAAGAAGGGTTGGGGGAGGATAGTATAGAAGAAAAGAGTCACATTTACAAAGGAAGAGTATTCATTCTAGCGTAAGTGCTTTATATGCAAAGAATAGCTCCCAAAAAAATAATTTCCCACTGACATTTTTCTGCAGTAGAATATATTCATTTCGCTCATT